GATCTTGCTTTATTGCATCGTTTTCTCGATTTGAAAATGTGTGCAATATAGAAATGAAAACTGCAATTATGGGCAGGATTCAAGCATTCTCATTTTCATAAGCTAAACTCACCTCTTCGGAACTGAATGAGATGGGTGTTTAGCAAAGATTTAGGGATGTTTCTATGCTTATTTTTCTTTTTTCAATTTTCTATACTGAAATCGGCTTCTTTTTGGGTCTTTTTTCTTATTAAATTCCCTCCAAGATGGGTTTGATATTTGATTTTGTTAGTATTTGCAAGAATGTTCTTAAAGTGACCCTGCTCTACTTCTATTTGTGTTTTTACCTATTGGGTTTAATCTTCTTAGGCAGGATGGAAAACAGACAGCATTTCCAAATTGGATTGTTAAGAATTTCTTTATGCATCGGAATTGGTTTATGTTGTTTTCTCAAGCAGAGAGATCATTAGATCATAGGTTCTTTCTATCATGTTCTGCTACTGTTGATATTGTGTAATGGTGAGAACTTGGAAGCAATTGTTGACTTCTGTAAAGATGGAATTTTTGTAATTTGGGAGTAAATGAATGGTATCTTTATTGCAGTAAAAGCCTTAAATGAGATTAAAGCATCACTTGGATGGAGAGTGGTATATTCATGGGTTGGAGATGATCCCTGCGGTGATGGTGATTTGCCTCCTTGGTCTGGTGTAACTTGCTCAACTCAAGGAGATTATAGAGTTGTTACAGAATTGTAAGTGTGATAGCTATGTCCATTCTATGTTGATAGTTGACCTTAATTCTTCAAGTCAGTATTAACCATACTAGTTCAGAAGGATCCCTTGTGCCCTCCTTTCCCCTTCTCAAAAGTCCCCAATTTCCCATTTTCAGAAAAAAAAAAAAAAAATAGTTGATGGTATGATTTTATTTTTGGAAAGTTAGACAAGTGAGTGTTTTCTTCTGGCATTATTCACTCTTACATAATTCAATGTTATTTTATTGGCTTTGACCTTTATTTGTGGTGACAATTGTTTTCTATTTGCAGGGAAGTTTATGCAGTATCCATTGTTGGTCCTTTTCCCCTTGCTGTAACTAATTTGTTGGATTTGACACGGCTGTAAGTTCATTAGCTCACTTTATCTGCTAAAAACATTGTCTCATACGAGGCATGTAAATTCTGCACTTCGTTATTTGTTTGCCCATGGTTTCAACATGGCCATTGAACTCCATATATGACATTTATTGGTACTTCAAATAACTTGAACTAATTTTCATTTCCATTATTGCTTCTTATCATTTCTTTTAGTGTCATTTAAAGCTGTTATTGTGTATATTGGAAAATTGTCTTCTGATTGTTTTTGTGAATTAGAACTACTTAAATGCATGTAGGAATTATGTTTCTTCTAGCCTGTAAGCATTTGGTCAAGTCTATAAATATCAAAATAACTGTTTTGACTTGAAATCGGTAATAGTTGCAGAAGCTTCCCTGATATTCCTCAGTATTGCAAAGGATGATTGCTTTATATTTATAGAAAAATTCCTTTCACAGAATTGCTATTTTTTTTAGAATTTTGAACCCTATGAATATAAAGTTTGAGTTCTGGCTTATTTGTTTTGCTACTAACTGTGTTAATTTACCAGGGATCTTCATAACAACAAGTTGACTGGCCCAATTCCTCCACAAATTGGACGGCTGAGAAGGCTTAAAATACTGTATGTTCTCTTCTTCTGTAAATTTTCATGGACATGGACATAGAGGGCTCCCAAAATGCTGATAAGAATTAACTTAATTTTGAAAAAAGTCTTTTTTCTTTTGCTTTAAGTGAAGCAATTATGATTTCTGAGATTGGATGAATAAATGTTGTCTTGTTTTCCTTTTTATCTCTTATCCTGGCATGCCATGCCTTAGAAAACAAGCTTTTATTTCTCTAGTTGTGGTGGGGAGGTTATCAAGGAAATGGCCCTTTTGATTACACAACATTAGCACTATTGTACCCCAATAATTGTGTTTGTTGTTACCTCATAGTTTGGCATTAAACAGGCTTTTCATCATGATTTGTTTTTAGACGAATGCTATAAAGATTTGCCTAAGTTTCTTTTACCCATCTAATGTTGGCAATCTTTGACATGCCTTTCAAAATATATTATGGAAAGAGTTAGGTGAGGCCCAAAATTTGTGAACTGTAACCCTATACTCTCATTTAAGTTCTTTTAGAATGTTAGAATATGGAGGGGATTATGCATCTTCACCTTAATTCTGCTTCTGCATGGTTATTCCGTGGACCAACTGAAGAAAGGTAGCAACAAAGCCAGACACACTAGAACGATGTTCCATTTTTGATCCTCAATGTGCCCCTGGTATTTTGGATGCTTTGTTTTAAAACTAGCTAGGTGACCTGAAAATATTTGCTTCTTGTCTTTCTTACCGGCACTTGTCTGTGTACATAAACGTCTGCTTAATTGCTCTTTAACACACAGTACTACATTACCATAAATAGCAGTATTTTTTAATTTTGATCTAGATTACTATTTGGAAGTGCCATTTCTGGTAGTGTTTACATTTAGTGTCAGAAATTAACATTGTTTCAGTTGCTTAGAGGTTATATAAGTTTATCATTGGAGTAAATTTATTCTTGATCACTAACTTTTAATTCATCTTCTTTTAGAAATTTGAGGTGGAATAAACTACAAGATGTACTCCCTCCTGAAATTGGAGAGTTGAAAAGACTAACACATCTGTGAGTAGTTTTCAATTTCAATGGACTCTAATTGAAGTTTCTTCAGGTGTCTGAGCATTTATAACAATCTAATTGAAATTTCTTTAGGTCTCTGAGCTTTAATAATTTTAAGGGTGAAATTCCTAAGGAGCTTGCAAACCTACCAGAGCTTCGCTATCTCTACCTTCAAGAAAATCGCTTCAGTGGGCGTATTCCACCAGAGTTGGGGACATTACAAAACCTTCGGCACTTGTAATATTTTATCTATTGTTTTCTATATTGTCTTCCTTATGATAGCTTTTATGCTTCATTAGTAGAACTTTTCATCATTAGCTTTCAGTTATTTTACTAACCCACGGTTCATTACCTTTCTTCCCAGAGATGTTGGTAATAATCATTTAGTGGGTACAATTAGAGAACTTATTCGATATGAAGGAAGCTTTCCAGTTCTGCGAAATTTGTAAGTTGGTAACTTTAATTCTATTCTATTGGTACCTGATTGCTGCTGATTGTTGTACAGTTTGTTGCATGATATGTTCACTGCTTGCTTCATTTTCCATTGTCTACTTTGATATAGGTATCTGAATAATAATTACTTGACTGGAGGAATCCCAGCTCAGCTAGCGAACTTGACAAATTTGGAGATTTTGTGAGTGCTGCTGATGTTTCTTTGTTGGGATTTTTTAACCTGAGCCTTGGAAGAATAAAAAATGACATTTAATTTATCAACTGTCTAATTAAAGTTATCCAAGTGGCAATGACACTAAAATTAATGTCAACTTTTACATTTTTGTATACAAATTGATGACAAAAAGGTGCCCTTAAGGGCACAAGTTTGAAAAACCCTTCTTTATTTAACTAATAATCTACACAATTCCCATTTTGGAGTTGGTCACTTTGGGATGCCATTTTGTTAAGATGTATTTTTGTTTTGGTAACAGGCACCTTTCCTACAACAAGATGTCTGGAGCAATTCCGATGGCACTTGCCTCTATTCCTAGCTTGACATATTTGTGAGTTTCTTTGAAACATCAGATTATGTCAGATTTATGGCTAATTTGAATTACATTAGATTCCATTTTTCTTTGGGGGAAATGAAAAAGAAAGAAAGATCCCTCTCCCCATCTTTCCTCTTTCTTATACTGTACACAAGATTGCACATTCTAAAATCTCTCTTTCCACCTCCATAAGCATATTTACTTGTAATGATTATTGAATGTCAATGATATCAGGTACTTGGATCATAACCAGTTCTCAGGCAGGATTCCAGATGCATTCTACAAGCATCCTTTCTTGAAAGAGATGTGAGTTGCCTCTAGAAACAGATATTGGATAAAAGCAACATGGATGTAAAATAAATAAAAGGAACATGCAACTAACTGTTCCAAGGTTTTATTGCAGGTACATAGAAGGGAATGGATTCCGGCCAGGTGTGAACCCCATTGGTGTCCATAAGGTCCTTGAACTTTCTGACACAGATTTCTTGGTCTAGTCAAACCATCAGGAAGGGCCGTTTGTTTGCAAAAAACGTGATAATGATCCATGAAAATACAGGGCTCGTATTTTATCTTCTCTTCAATATTCTAGGGAAGATGTTCTGCAAGTTCTGGTTAAATCTATCATGGTGGTTGTGCTGAAGATGTTAGAGGCAAACGTTACCATTTTCAGCAGCCTTGTATCACAAAGTAGTTTCTTATGTCAAAAGAAATGTTAACTTAAAATTGTCAGCTGAAATTTAGCATTTCATGAATCAAATGTCAAAATATATGTAGTTATTTTCAGTTTTTCATTTCTTGCCTGGGGGAGGCATGGGAATGAGATGGATGGGAAGCAAAAGGTGAAATTTGACTATTCTTGCTTGGTTGGATCTTTCCGTTAATAGAAACAAAAAAAAAAAAAAAACGGGAGGAAGGCCTTTTTTTTTCCCTGAATAATATATATGGGTCATCTTTGGGTTGGGACAATGACTGTTCTACAGTCAAATTATAAAAAAAAAATTATTACCTTTGGTTTATTATTTTACTCACACTTTTGAGATGATTTAATTTACTTGTTTTAATTTTCAACATGACATTAAAATCTTTTTTGCTAATTTTACCTTTATGAATAATTATTTTATTCTTAAAAAGTATGATAACTAAAATTAGAAATAGTAAATTTGAAAAACTTTCTAGGTCAGATTATTTTCAACTTTTTATGAAAATTTTACAAGTTTTTAACTTGTTTTATAATTTAACTAAAGAATAGAGACATCATTGCCAATCAAACAAGTCCACGATGAACAGGTAATATTTAGTATTTCCCATTCCCAATTTCTCTCCCATCCCGCCAATCAAGCCTCGTGTCAGTTAGTTAGGAAAAGAGCTGAGGCCTGACAACGTCAAGACTCTGGATTCAACCACCTGTGCATGCGGGTTTTCTCATTTTTCCTAGTTAGATATCTACTTTATACACTTACATTGCCTTTGCTATACCCTACATCAATAAAGAAAATCCCCAATTTACCAATCCCAGTGTTTGAACTTTAGACCTCTAAGAAAAGAATCTCAAAACTCCTACAAGAAAGATCTTATTTTAATACCATTAGTAATTCAAGTTGACCACATTTTCTTGCATCCTTTTACCTTTGGGGCTAAATAAATACACCAACTTCCAACACTCCCACATATAACACTACTACTGAAACAGATAATAATTACAATTGTCCAACTTTTATCTAGTAAAAAAAAAAAAAGAGAGACAACAGCACTGCAATTATGCTACACAAGCTGGAGCATCCATGTTGGGGAATACTATGAATGAAATGGAAAGGGGAGCAATTGATATTGGGGAAGTCAAGTCCAGATGCACAGGTTCCAGTTCTGGGATATGTTCAGCTTCTGTAGGCTCTATTGGAAGTCCATTCAAAACCATGGTTTGACTCTGAAGGTATCCGTCCTTCGGAGTTAAATGGTACTCTTCTCTGAATAGATTTTTATCCGTCTCTTTAATTCCAACCCAAGAAAATGTTCTCTTAAGGCCATCAGTGAATCTGTCCCTTCTATTGTTTCTACTCACCTCTATGTTTAACTGGTTTTGAACGGTGAGTATGAAATTAGTCTGGTTACTCAAGTTGAGCAGAAGTAAAGTCACACCAGGCTGCAGAAAGATGATAAGATTAGTCTAAAACAGTACA